CAGGATCAGATTCCCTTTCCAGCTGGAGAATCCGAGTTTCCTCTCTGCTGATTTTTTGGGAGCGCAGCACACCTGGAATTTTGGGGATCTTCCAAAACTTTGCTGCTGCTTCATTCTCGTTATTCTGACAGCTCAGAAATCCAGGCCCCAAATGCCCTGGAGTGAGGATTCCTAGGATTTGCTGCCTCCAGCCCGAAGCTCCCCCAAACCCCTGAGTGCTCCCAGAAAAAAAAAAAAAGAGGGAAAACCAAACAAATGCCTCCAGAAATTATAAAAAAACCCCGATCCCAGCCCTGCTCCCGTCTCCGGGGTCGGGATGGGAGCTCGGTGTTCCCGATGTGGGAATAACTTCCAGTGCTCCGAGGTATTTATAGCATCCAGCTCATGAGTTTTTAATTAAAATTCCATTTCCTTGTGCTCCAGATGGCACGGACAGGCAGCTCCGTGTTTTCCTTGGGTTTTGTCGGGATCGGGCGGCTCCGGCCGGGATGGGGTCGTTCGGGAGGGGTTTTTTCTGGGATAGGGGCGTTCTGAGGGCCAGGACTGGCATTCCCGGTTGGATCTGGGGGATGGAGGGGTGGCAGCGGCTGGCCCAGAAGTGTCAGATCCGCAGGGATCGCATCCATCCCCAGGGAAGGGAGGGCGGGAAGGGCTCCACGTCAGGAGGAATCACATCAGGAAAAGCAAAGCTTTCAGCAGAGCTAAATCGGGATGGCCGGAGAGAGCGGGAACATCAGGAACAGCGGGAACGGCGGGAACAGCAGGAACAGCAGGGACAGTGGGGACAGCAGGAACAGTGTCCCTGGAATTGGGACATTCCAAATATCCCACTGGGATGGATCCTGCCTGCCCCCGTGGAATTGGGATCATTCCAGATATCCCACTGGGATGGATCCCAGTTGCCTCCCTGGAATTGGGACATTCCAAATATCCCACTAAGATGGATCCCAACTGCTTCCCTGGGATTGGGACATTCCAAATATCCCACTGGGATGCATCCCGGCTGCCCCCATGGGACAGGGACATTCCAATATCCTACCGGGATGGATCCTGCCTGCCCCCCTGGAATTTGGAACATTCCACTGGGATGGATCCCAGTTGTCCCCCTGGAATTGGGACATTCCAAATATCCCACTAAGATGGATCCCGGCTGTCCCCCTGGAATTGGGACATTCCAAATATCCCACTGGGATGGATCCCAGCTTCTTCCCTGGAATTGGGACATTCCAAATATCCCACTGAGATGGATCCCGGCTGCCCCCCTGGAACTGGGACATTCCACTGGGATGGATCCCAGCTGCTTCCCAGGAACTGAGACATTCCAAATATCCCAGTGGGATGAGCAGCAGGGATTTGCAGGATCAATTTTCCGGCCGGAATCTGGGGGATGTTCCCTTTCCCACCCCATTCCCGCTGCACCCAGAGGTCCTGGGAGCTCCCCAAAGCCTGGGAAATGGCTCCAAAGTCAAGTCCTCCAAATGAGGACTTTTTACGGTTGAGGAAAATTCCCGATTCCCGGAGCTGGTGCTGCTGGGATGGAGGAAAGGCAAATTCCTGGCTCAGGGGATTCCCGAGCTGCTCCCGGCCTGGGATCCAACATCCCAAGGGAGCGGAGCTGCTGGAGAGAGGCCAGAGGGGAGCAGGGAGCTGCTCCGGGGCTGGGAGAGCTGGGAATGTTCACTGGGATCAGGGAAGGAGCCAGGGAATGCTTGGAGCCTTTTCCGGAGGCTCCAGGAGAGCTGGGATTTGGGCAAGGGCTGGAGGGCCAGGAGGCAGGGAATGGCTTCCAGTGGGAAAGGGGAGCTTGGGATGGTGGGATCTTGGGAAGGAATTCACGGCTGGGCTGGAATTCCCAGAGAATCCCTGGATCCCTGGCAGTGTCCAAGGGTGGATTTGGATCACCTTGGGATGGGGTTGAAGGTCCATGGATCCCATCCCAAACTATTCTGGGATCAAGGACAGTCAGGGTCCATCCCGAGGGATATTTTATGGAATCTGGGGATGGAAAAGGGAAGGCAGACCCTTCCTGGAGTCTCCAATTCCCAGTGAAGCCCCTGGATCCCAAAATTCCAGAGCTCTTACCCCAATCCTCAGCCCAATTCCCAGGAGGGGCCCGAAGCCCATCCCAGAATCCCCACTCAGAGATGGGATACCAGGGAATTCCCAACGCTTCCCATTCCCACCTTTCCACTCCCAAAACCCCTCCAAGGGCGGTGGCGGGAAGAAAATTCCTGCAGGATTTTCCTGGGGGGGTCAGGAAGGGCTGGGCCAGGACACGGAGCCCTGGAAGCTGCAGGAGCCTCGTCAGCCAGCCCCAATCCCTCGGGAACCGCCGCTGCCGGGGCTGAGATCCATTAGGATCCCGCAAAGCCAAAATCGAGGCTTTTTGGGAATGACTCGGCAGCGCCGGCGGAAGAGCGGGAGCACGCTTGGCTTTTTAGGAGCACTTTCGGGTGGATTTTTTGGGTTTTTTATCCACTTAATTCTTTTATTTTTGGCAGCGGGGAGGGAGCAAATGGCCTGGCTGGAGCCCGGATCCATTTGTGGTTTTCCAGAGGCAGCAGCGGCCGGAGTTGGGGAATCTCCGGGGGCCAGGGAATGACTCATGTCGGGAAAGGGGAGAGGGGACAAGGCGAGGGAAACTGGGATGGGAGAGAGGGAAACTGGGATGGGGGAGAGGGAAACTGGGATGGGGAGAGAGGGAAACTGGGATGGGGAGAGGGGAACTGGGATGGGGAGAGAGAAACTGGGATGGGAGAGGGAAACTGGGATGGGAGAGGGAAACTGGGATGGGGGAGAGGGAAACTGGGATGGAGAGAGGGAAAGTGGGATGGGGAGAGGGAAACTGGGATGGAGAGAGGGAAAGTGGGATGGGGAAAGGGGAACTGGGATGGGGAGAGGGAAACTGGAATGGGGAGAGGGAAACTGGGATTGGGGAGAGAGGGAAACTGGGATGGGGAGAGGGGAACTGGGATGGGAGAGAGGGAAAGTGGGATGGGAGAGAGGGGAACTGGGATGGGGAGGGGGGAACTGGGATGGGGAGAGTGGAACTGGGATGGGGAGAGAGAAACTGGGATGGGGAGAGGGGAACTGGAATGGGGAGAGGGAAACTGGGATGGAGAGAGGGGAACTGGATCAGGGATATTTGGGAAGTGTTTCCCAAGATTCTGTGGGTCAGGGATATTTGAGATGTGATTCCCAGGATGCCAATGGGATATTTGGGACGTGTTTCCCGAAATGCCGATGGGATATTTGGGATTTGTTTCCTGGAATGTCAGTGGGTCATTTGGGATTTGTTTCCCGGAATGCTGATGGGATATTTGGGATTTGTTTCCTGGAATGCTGATGGGATATTTGGGATGTGTTTCCCAGAATGCCGATGGAATATTTGGGATGTGTTTCCCAGAATGCCGATGGGATATTTGGGATGTGTTTCCAAGAATATCAATGGGATATTTGGGATTTGTTTCCCAGGATGCCGATGGGATATTTGGGATGTGTTTCCCGTGGCTGCCAGGCCGTTCCCGGTTTCCCGCTCCGTGCCGAGCCCAGCCGGAGCAGCCGGATCCGGCACAAGCTGTCGCGGCAGCTGCCGCTCCCCGGGAGCCGGGAAAAGGCAGAGCAGCTTCTCCAGCCAGGAAGGATCCCACGGATCCTTGTTCCCAAAACACCGCTCCCTGCCGAGGTGAATCCCAGGGGATCCAAACGATCCCAGATCCCACAGATGTCAGATCCAAACTACCAGATCCCACAGCACCCCATTAAACCCACAGAACCCCATAACGCTGCACCCCATAACCCCACACACCATAACACACGGCACCCCATAACCCGCAGCACCCCATAACCCGCAGCACCCCATAACCCACAGAACCCCATTAACTATGCACCCCATAACCCCACACACCATTAATGCCACACCCCATAATCCATACCCCATTAACCCCACACCCCATCTCCCACAGCACCCCATAACCGCACATCCCATTAAACCCACACCCCATAACGCTGTGCCCCATAACCCCAGTGACGCCCTGACTCTGTCCCTGTCCCCATCCCACTGTCACACAGGCCTGTCCCCCTCCTGGTCACTTGCTGTCCCCCAGGGTCCCTTCATGTCCTCGTCCCTGCAGGAATGTTCCGGAACACAGATCCCAACTTTTCCCAGAGCACTCGGGATTTTCCCGCTGCTTCCCCGTCCCTCTGCACCCACCCAGCCCCAAAATACCCCGGAAAAGGGACAGGAACACCACGGGGGACACAGGAGGGCAGCTGTCCCCTCCTGTCCCCTCCCGGGATGGGGGAAGATCCCTCGGGAAGCTCCCGGGGGGAAAATTCCACATGACCATGGAATATCCAATCATCCCCGTGGGTATCCCACATCCCATATCCCACATCCCACATATCCCATATCCATATCCCATATCCCATATCCTGAATCCCACATCCCAAATCCCACATCCCATATCCCATAACTCCTATCCCACATCCCATATCCCATATCCCCTATCCCACATCCCAAACCCCACATCCCACCATTCCCATCCCCCAGAGCTCCCCCAGTGGTGCCACCCCCTCCCAGCCCCTTGGGGACAGGGTTGGTGTCACCCCGGTTCCGCAGCCACCTCGGGGATGAGGGGATGGGAGGGGATCAGCTCCGGGGAGCATTGGAGTTCCCCGGTTGGAATTCCCGGGCACCCTGGAATTCCCGCGGGATCCGGGCTGCGCTGGGGTGCCAGCACGCGTGCGAGGGACAGTTGTCCCCGGTTTCGGGTGACAGCAGCTGGCAGAGCCTGTCCCGGGCTGGAAAACATTCCCTGCTCCAGAGGGTGCTGCCGTCCAGCCCCACAGGGATCCCGGGGTGATCCCGAAATCTGTCAGCGGGAAAAGCGGGAATTCCGCCTGCGTGAGAGCTCCGGGATCCCAAAATCTGCGGGACAAGGAGGTGGAGAGGAGAGCAGGGAGCTGCTCCGGGGCTGGGAGAGCAGCCGGCCCCGCCGCGCCCCGCAGCCGCCGCCGGCGCACCATGAAGCGGCAGAACGTGCGGACGCTGGCGCTGATCGTCTGCACCTTCAGCTACCTGCTGGTGGGCGCCGCCGTCTTCGACGCGCTCGAGTCCGAGGCGGAGACGGCGGAGAGGCGGCGGCTGGAGGCCAAGAGCGACGAGCTCAAGAGAAAGTACAACCTGAGCGCCGAGAGCTACGGCGAGCTCGAGCGGGTCGTGCTCAAGCTCAAGCCGCACAAGGCCGGCGTCCAGTGGAAATTCGCCGGCTCCTTCTACTTCGCCATCACCGTCATCACCACCATAGGTACCGGCTGCCCCCGCCCCGCCCGGCTCCATCCCGCCGGGATCTGGGGATCCACCCGGGAAGCGCCGGGAAAGCCCCGCCTGGCCCCGAGGGAGCGCGGGGAAATCGGGAGCGCGGCGCTTTCGCCGCCCGAGACCCCCCCGCCGCCGCCGCCCGTCCCGCTGGGACCGGGGCGATCCCTCTGCTCCGTTCCGCCGGCTCCGGGAAAAACCCTCCGTGCTCTGGGTCCCATCCCTTGGGATCGGGGCGATCCCCCTGCCCGAACTCCCCTGTTTCCCATCCCGGTGTTTTGGGGGCGATCCCCCTGCCCCGGATTCCCGTCTCCCACCCCGGTGTTTTGGGAGCGATTTCTCTGCTCGTCTCCTCCGGCTCCAGGAAAAACCCTCTGTGCTGTGTCCCATCCCTTGGGATCGGGGCGATCCCCCTGCCCGAACTCCCCTGTTTCCCATCCCGGTGTTTTGGGGGGGCGATCCCCCTGCCCGGTCCCCTCTGTCTCCCACCCTTGGGATCGGGGCGATCCCTCCCCGGCTCCTCTGGAACCGGGAAAAACCTGCCAGGACCCCCCTGTTTCCCATTCTGGTGTTTTGGGGGCGATCCCCCTGCCCGAACCCCACTGTCTCCTCCCATCCCGGTGTTTTCGGGGCGATCCCTCTGCTCGGCTCCCCCGGCTCCGGGAAAAACCCTCCGTGCTCTGTGTCTCATCCCTTGGGATCGGCTGTCACCCACATTGTCCCCCACTGTCACCCGCACTGTCACCTCTCCCACCGGGAAACCCCCGCGCGACCCCCGGGATCCGGGAATGCTCCCGCCCCTGGGATGTGTCCCCAAGGCGCTGTCACCCCCCGCCAGTGGCTCTGCTGCTCCTGTGGGACCACCCGTGGGACCCCCCAACCCGGGGGAGGGGACAGGGACGTGTCCCTGTAGGGTCCCCCAGCCCGGGGCAGGGGACAGGGACGTGTCCCCACCCTGCCAGGCTCTCCCAGGGGGTGTCACCGCTGTCCCACACGCTCAAGGATGTCCCCAGCCCTGTCCCCACCCTGGGAAGTGTCACTGGGGGTGCCCCCTTTGGGACCCACCCCCATTGTCACCCCCATTGTCACTCCCCTGTCACCCCCGTTGTCACCCCCCTGTCACCCCCGTTGTCACCCCCCTGTCACCCCCGTTGTCACCCCTCTGGCCTTTGGGGGTCACCCACTGTCCCCTGGTCCCCAACTGCCCCCCAAGCTCAGCCTCAGGGAGGGCCTGAGGGGTGGGGACAGTGAGGGGACAGCGAGGGGACAGTGAGGGGACACAGGGCCCTGGCCACCATTCCCACGGGTCCTGCGGAGAGAGGGGAGGGATGGGACAATGGCACAATGGCACAATGGGATGGGGGACACAAGCTTTGGGACAGATTTTGGGGTGTCCCTGTGTCCCCATGGGTGTCACGTGGATGTCGGGGTGTCCCTGCGTTCCCAGGATGGGGACAGGCATTCCGGGGTGCCTGTTGGTTCCCGGGGTCAGATCCGGTACTGGGGTGCTCGGGGGTTCCCAGATTTTGGGGTGTGGATACTGGGATGTTTCCCAGGCCCGAAATCCCGGTGTGGGGAGGCAAAAGAATTCCAAGAGCTGAAACAGCGGGCTCGGGGTGCTCGTTGTTCCCGGGACTGTTATCCCGGTGTTGGTCATTCCCGGGGCTTTTATCCCAGTGTTTGTCATTCCTGGGGCTGTTATCCCGGTGTTATTCTCAGGCTGTTATCCCGGTGTTTGTCATTCCCGGGCTGTTATCCCGTTGTCATTCCCGGGCTGTTATCCCGGTGTTTGTTATTCCTGGGCTTTTATCCCGGTGTCATTCCCGGAGCTTTTATCCCGGTGTTTGTTATTCCCGGGACTGTTATCCCTGTGTTTGTCATTCCCATTATCCCGGTGTTTATTATTCCCAGAGCTGTTATCCCGCTGTTTGTCATTCCCAGCACTGTTATCCTGGTGTTTATTATTCCCATTATCCCGGTGTTTGTCATTCCCACTATCCCCGGTCTCAGGGTGTTTGTTATTCCCAGGGCTTTTATCCCGGTGCTTGCTATTCCCGGCGTTGTTATCCCGGTGTTTGTCATTCCCGGAGCTGTTTTTCCCACTCTCAGGGTGTTACTTATTCCCGGGGCTTCTATTCCGGTGTCAGGCTGGTATTCCAGGGCTGTTATCCCGGTGTTTGTCATTCCCACCCTCAGGGCGTTCATTATTCCCGGGTCCATTATCCCGGTGTTTGTTATTCCCGGCGCTTTTATTCCAGTGTCTGTTTTTTCCAGGGCTGTTATCCTGGTGTTTGTCATTCCCATTCTCAGGGTGTTCATTATTCCCAGGGCTGTTTTCCCAATGTTTATTATGCCCGGTGTCAGGGTGTATTTTTATTCCCGAGGTTTTTATCCCAGTGTTTATTATTCCCAGGGTTGTTATCCTGCTGTTGGTTATTCCCGGAGCTGTTATTCCCGCTCTCAGGGTGTTCCTTACTCCTGGGGCTTTTATCCCGGTGTCAGGCTGGTATTCCAGGGTTGTTATCCCGGTGTTTGTCATTCCCAGAGTTGTTATTCCCACTCTCAGGGTGTTCCTTATTCCCGGTGTTTGTCATTCCCACCCTCAGGGTGTTCATTATTCCAGGGCCTGTTTTCCCAATGTTCATTATTCCCATTATCCCGGGGGCGTCAGAGTGTTTGTTATTCCCGGAGCTTTTATCCCAGTGTTTGCAATTCCCGGGGCTGTTATCCCGGTGTTTGTCATTCCCACCCTCAGGGTGTTCATTATTCCCGGGGCTGTCTTCCCAATGTTTATTATTCCTATTATCCCGGTGTCAGGGTGTTTGTTATTCCCGGGGTTTTTATTCCAGGTTTTTGTTTCTGGGTTTTTTGTTTGGTTTTGTTTTTGGTTTTTTGGGGGGTTTTTTTTGTTTTGTTTTTTTTTTTTTGTTTTGGGGTGTTTTTTTGTGTTTTTGTGGTTTTTTTGTTGGTTTTTTTTTCTTGGTTTGGTTATTTGGATTTTGTTTTTTGGAGTTTTGTTTTGTTTTGTTTTTTAATTTCCAGAGTTGTGTTATTCCCACTCTCAGGGTGTTCCTTTTTCCCGGTGCTGTTATTCCAGGGCTTTTATCCGGGTGTTTGTCATTCCCATTACGCCGGTGTCAGTGTCAGGGTGCTCATTATTCCCAGGCTGTTATCGCAATGTTTGCTATTCCCGGAGTTGTTATTCCCACTCTCAGTTTCCTTATTCCTGGAGCTTTTATCCCAGTGTCTGTTATTCCCGCAGTTCTTATCCTGCTGTTTTTTATTCCCGGAGCTGTTCTCCCAGTGTCTGTTATTCCCAGGGCTGTTATCCCGGTGTTTGTCATTCCCAGAGCTGTTATTCCCACTCTCAGGGTGTTCCTTATTCCCGGGGCATTTATCCCGGTGTCAGGCTGTTATTCCCAGGCTTTTATCCCGGTGTTTGTCGTTCCCGGGGCTTTTATCCCGGTGTTTGTTATTCCCAGGGCTTTCGTCCCAGTTTTTTTGTTGTTGTTGTTTTTTTGTTTGTTTTTTTTTTTAATTTTAATTCTTGGAGTTGTTATTCCCACTCTCGGGGTGTTCCTTATTCCCGGGGCTTTTATCCCGGTGTCAGGCTGGTATTCCAGGGTTGTTATCCCGGTGTTTGTCATTCCCAGAGTTGTTATTCCCACTCTCAGGGTGTTCCTTATTCCCGGTGTTTGTCATTCCCACCCTCAGGGTGTTCATTATTCCGGGGCCTGTTTTCCCAATGTTCATTATTCCCATTATCCCGGGGGCGTCAGAGTGTTTGTTATTCCCGGAGCTTTTATCCCGGTGTTTGCAATTCCCGGGGCTGTTATCCCGGTGTCAGGCTGGTATTCCCGGGCTTTTATCCCAGTGTTTGTCATTCCCGGGGCTTTTATCCCGGTGTTTGTTATTCCCAGGGCTTTCGTCCCAGTTTTTTTGTTGTTGTTGTTTTTTTGTTTGTTTTTTTTTTTAATTTTAATTCTTGGAGTTGTTATTCCCGCTCTCAGAGTGTTCCTTATTCCCGGGGCTTCTATCCCGGTGTCAGGCTGTTATTCCAGGGCTGTTATCCCGGTGTTTGTCATTCCCACCCTCAGGGCGTTCATTATTCCCGGGGCTGTTTTCCCAATGTTCATTATTCCCATTATCCTGGTGTCAGGTCGTTTGTCATTCTGGGGATTTTTATCCCAGTGTTTGCTGTTCCAGGGCTCTGGGCTCCGCGTGGGAGCTTTGGGGTTGGGGTGAGGATTCCCAGCATCCCAAATGTGGGAATTGCAGAGGGAATGGCCACGAATGGCTTTCCCTGAATCCAGCCCGGTTTTCCTGGAATTTTCAGGGATGTGGGGAAGGGGCTGGGACATGACCGGGAAGATCCCAAAATCCCAAAATCCCACAAAATCCACAATTTGGGTGGCTGGATATGGCAGCAATGCTGGGATGGGGCTGGAATGAGAGGAGACCCCTCTAAATCCAGGGAAAAGGGGAAAGAAATTCCCCTTATTCCCATGGAATTGGGTTTTCCAGGGCAGGAAAAAAAGGGATTTTTCCGGGCATTCACCACCCAGCTCTTGGTGGGACAGGGAAAAGCCGGACTGGGATTGGGAAGTGGTTCCTGAGGCAGGGGAGATCCCGGTGGAGGAAAATCCGGGATTACAGATCCGGCTGGGATGGGGGGAGGAAAATCCGGGATTACAGATCCCGCTGGGAAAAGTTTGAATCCATTTGGGATTTTTTTTTTCCCCTTTATCCATGAAAAAAGCCGGGAGATGAGCTCCCGCCGCTGCTCCAAAGCTTTCCTGCGGCTCCCGAGAAATTCCAGAGGCAGGGATGTCCCCTCTGTCCCCATCCCGCAGTTCCAGGGGCAGGGATGTCCCCGGGGGGGTGGCAGTGTCCCTTGTCACCTCTGCCGCTGTCCCGAGCCAGAGCGGGCTGCGCTGGCTCTGGATGGCTCCCAGAAATCCCGATCGAAAAACCCCAAAAATCCCGATC